TAACTTTCACTAAAAATGCAGCAATTGAGTTTACAGATGAGATGGAGTTTTTGTGCCTGTTAGGAAGCTCCCGTTTCTCTAGCACTTGAAGTTGTGATCAGGGCAGCTGTTCTGGAAAGCAGGTACCTATAGACTCCAGCCTTAAAACACGTTTACATTGTTCCACTCACATTATCTGTACTCTTTCAACCCTTTGCAGTGGTGAATAAAGTACTTACCAGAACAATCTTTTCATCTGTTTCATTGCCCAGTGAAGTACACTTGCATCCATCTGAAGATACTTATGGGCTTGGGGTCAGAACTTCTTTTTCCTAATTGTGCTGAGTGTGAATACTTGAGTTGATCTAATTTGTATGTTCCTGTGCATGCGTACACATGCATATTTCTCCTGTGTTAGTGTCTGTCCTCTTGTTGCATATTGTAATATGCAGACGTGATGTAGGCTTGCTTTATGCTATATAGGACACTGATTTAGAAATATACAGGTAGTGAAAAGATATTTTGATTTGACAGTTTCTCTTAAAAGTACTCTTCTTCTTTACTATATATATATATATATATATATATATATATATATATATATATTCAGCTTTTAAAATAATACATTTCCAGAAAATAACAGTGAACTTGGTCAACAGCCAAGGCCTTCCCTGCCATATTCTTGCCTATTGTCAGCTACCAGTTTTTGTCTCTTGGTTGCGCTTGATAACTCAGAAACTCTGCATCAGTCAGGCCGTAAGATATTACTGTTTATACTGTGCTTTTCAATAGTAGTTGACCAGAAAGTGAATGTGATGCTGGTCATATCAATTTAACCATCTCAGATGCTTTATATTTATCCATCTATATAGCAAAATGAAAAATTCTGAGATTAAATGTATCCTTCCTTGTGGTATAATGGAGAAGAAGTGGTTGTAGTGGCAGGGGGTGAGCAGAGTGCTAGGAGTGTGTGCTGCTTCTTTAACTCTTCAAGAGCTCCTCTTAGCTGCTGGTGTAATGATCATGCAGAAAAGGAGAGAGTTTTAAAGGCATTTTGATTATGATAAGCATAAAATCCATGATCATTTGTTCCTTTCCCTGAGATAGAGTCCAGGTCAGTCCTCATCAGTAATTATGCTACAGAAGGAGATTGAATGAAATCGATGAAAGAATTTGAAATACATTTTATTAAAAATAGGTGAGAACTTATATGCAGTAGAGTGTTGTACTGCATACCATTGAGCTGCGGGGGAAAAAAAAAGTTAATATCTTGAGTTCTTAAACATGAGAAACAGCCTTGGAACAAAGGAACTCTTGGATTTGATGTACAGAGATCATGTATCCTGGAAGGACAACAGTGAGTCTGGGTTCCAGCTCCTGTAGATGCTTTATTACACTTTTTCAGTGTTCAGCCTGATTGTGCAACGTTTAGATCAGGATGGATCATAAAATATAATAATAATAATTGAAACGGATCTTGAGAAACCACCGAGTTCTAGATTCAGCACTGAGTAGGATGCAAGAATTTGTTCCAGAGATGGATTTTGTTAGTTTCTGCCTTAAAATATTAAGACTGTTGGTCACTAGGATTTTATTTTAGTTGCCTTTAATTGAACGTGATCCACTTGGCCGGAGAGAATGGTGATGTGACCTGTGTATGGCAGATGGAGCTGAGCAGGGTGTACAGCAGCTCCCGGGCCACCACTGCTTGCAACCCAGTGCATTAAGCCCTTGCCAATTCCAAATTACTTCAATATACCAGACTGCAAACTGCAGCAATTCAGGAGTTGCTACATTCAGCCATCCATGCAGCAGACACAGCAGGCTCTGGGAGGAATGGCATAAACTGCCTGAGCAATTCCAGTTTTATCTCGGGCTTCATGTGGATTAGCAGTGAATCACCAAGAGCTTCCACTGCAGGCAGAGTAATAGCTGCTGGTCCCCTGGTAGCACCATTTTGGAAGATTAATATAAAAATCTGTTAATAGCAAGCTTTCCTCCATCTGTTAAAAGTGGTGCTTAGGTCTTTGAGCATCTCGTTTACCTACATATTTTTTATTTTATTATTATTATTATTTTTATAGCATCATCATCTACAGCATCTATAGCATCATCAGACAAGGAACTGGAAATGCAGGTGGAGCAGAATCTCCATTCAACATTGTCATTTTGTGTTGATGGCTCTCCTTTTACTTATCTAAATAGAGAAGTGAGTGTAAGCAATTCCTGACATAATTGTTCTCCAAACCTCTGAGCTCCTAGTCTGATGACAGTAGGTCAGAGGTACAGTCTTGTGTTCATCTTCTGGGCTACAGGTTCCATGTACTTATTTCAGAATTTATATTTAAAATAAAACAAGGAAGTTTTGTTTTAAAAAAGACCAGATCTCCCGAACACTTTAGAAGCAGAAAGGGGGTATAAGAGCTTAGCTGAAATGACTTTAATTGGCTCATGGTGACCTTTGTAGCTATCTTCCAGTTGTAAACGTTTGCTTCAATCAAGGTTATATTATATGTATCTCATACCATTTTCTGCTCTTGCCTGTTATGGGAAGCATTTGTCTGCTCATTGTAATCAGGGCAGCTGTTCTGGAAAGCAGGTGCCTATAGACTCCAGACTTAAAACATGTTTAAATTGTTTCACTCACATTTTCTGCACTCTTTCAACCCATTTCAGTGTTTAGCTGTGGGCCAATTCCAGACTGAAATGCTTTTTATGGGAACTTTGTATGTTTTAGCCAAGCCAGTAAGTCATCTCAGCAGGACACAGCAAACAGCTAGCTGGAATCGCTGCAGAGGAGCATGGAGCGAAATGCTGGGATAGCTGTGCAGCACCAGAAAGCAGCATCTCCTTATCACAAAAAGCAGTATCTGCAAAGATGCTATTTTCCTTTAGATCTGCTGTTCCAAGGACAAATACCCTAATTATGTTCTGAAACTTCTGTCACCTCTGCAAAAGCTTAGGCTGTTTGTTTCTTTCTTCACCCTCCACCCAGCCCATGTCTCTTAATTGTGCCAGAAGCTCCAACCCCCTTCCCTTAATGCACTACTATGTGAATAGTGAATGATTTTTCCAGAGGTGTTTGCCATTCTACTGATGCATACAATTATTGCCTTCCACTGAACCTCTTCCTGAATATGTTCTGAACATTTTAGATAATACAGTTAAAATATCTGGATGAAGGAAAAATCCTTGTTGTTTCAGATTAGTAATAAACTCATACATATATGTATACACACATGTAAATATTTGTATATGATTGCAGCAGCAGAATGTTTCCCTAAATGAGTAAGTGTTGAAATGTTTTCACAAGAAGTGTGTGTGTGCACACATGTGCAAGAGGCTAATGCATAGGCTTTATTCACAGAGCTGACTTCGTTATGGTATTTTGCATAACAATAGTGTATGTCTGGAGTCTTAAGAAGACTAAGCACAAAAGAAGCGCCAGGGGAGGTTCAGGTTGGAAACTGGAAATTAACAGAAATTGCTTCTCAGTGGCTAGGCGGGTTGCCCAGGAGTGTGGTGGAGTCACCGTCACTGGGGGTGTTCAAGGAAAGGTTGGACCTGGCTCTTAGGGACAGAGTGGTGGTAGGGGGATGGTTGGGCCAGAATATTGGGGATCTTTTCCAACCTTGATGATTCTATTCTAAGCACTTTTTCAGGGTATTGTGCGGTGATACTCCATAGACTCTGGAAGGGAGAAAACCCTCCTTGGGTTGTTATCGCTCTGCACTAGAGGCAGTGGTAGTTCTTGTGCAACTGTGACGCTTAGATGGCAGCTGAAAAGAAGGTCTTTATGGCCTTGAGAGAACAGATGTGATATGGTGTGGGGAGAAGAAGGATGGGGGTACGGAGACAAAGGGACAGAAAATTTTGGTGTACATGTTTGTTACTATGTGTGTATGCAGGAATGATGCACAGATCAAGGTGAAAACATCCACTTGTAAAAAAGTGAAAGTGAAACATTTTTAGGAGTTCATTGGTTACCTCCTCTGTTGGAGCATGGCCTGCAGAAGGCTTTTGGGCTGTCCTTTAGAGAGGCACCTGTTGCCTAGGCTAGAACCTAACATCTGAGTTAGGTTCTGGGTCGTGTGGGGCTGTGCGTGGCTCTGGTAGTTGGTACCACAGGTGTTCAGATAGCTGGCAGAGGCTGCACTGAGTTTCTTGGAGCTGTACTTGGTGATACTCTGAATGAATTGGTTTGCACTTCACAGAAGACACCTATTCCAACAAGGTAGAAATTCTCAGTGGTAGTTCTGTGACTGGCACTCTCAGTTTCACGGCAGTCTGGTCCAGCACAGTAGTCTCACCAGTGTACTTTGTGTTGTTAAATGTCAGAAGAGAGGAGGTGTCCTGCAGTTTGGCATGCACAGGAGAAAGGTGGTCAGCATCACTTTTGGACACGAGGAGGTCTGGAGTCATTGCTGACTCTGCTGGTTCTGTGAGCTGAGGCTGAGGTAGTACCTCTGTGCCCTGGGGTCTCGAAGGAGCAGCAAGCTCTAGGCTGGGGGCATGGGGCACCACAGCAGGAGACACGATGTGCTGTGGATGGGGAGATCGGTAGCTGTCCTTTGGGTCCTGAGGGACTCTGTCCTGAGCATTGTGTTGCTTTCTCCCACAAGTGGTAGCTGTGTTGGGAGCCACGAAGATCTGGCTTGTGATTTCTCTCCTTCCTTGAGCACCAAACTGAAATGAATTCCAAATATTTGCATTTTTTTGCAGGGTGATGGACGTTTCTCCCGGCATGTATAGCAGCTAACACAAACAAAAGAGTCTATCTGCCCTGAGAAAATGATTCTCGTTATTACTGCCTCCCCGCACTGCCTCGCTCCCTCCCTGATGCTGCAGCTGCCGGAGCTGCTGCCGCTGGTGAGTGCTCGAGCTGTCCAGCTCCTGCTTCTCCAGGAGGTGCCACGGCCGTGGCTGCAGATGAGACTTCTCTCTCCGCTCCCTCGCGCGGTCCCCCCCCGCGAGACCTTGGTGTTTGACGTCATGTGTGCTCCTTCCAGTTGCCATGGCAGCCCCATTCCCCAGGCCCCCTGCCTGTCTCCTCTGCTAGGTTGCACAATGGTACAGCCAGCATCACGCCGCACAATGGTTTCCAGGCAGTGAAAGAGCGTGATTCAGCAAGCCACTCTTCCCCCCCCCTCTTTATTTCATTATTATTGGACATTTTGCCTCCCCTTTTTCCATCCTCTTTACCCTCTCCCCTAGGCTTTGCTTGATTTCTTTAGAGGAAAGCATTGTATTGCCTCGAATCCAGCTGCCCATCTTTTTATTCTTTTTACTTTTATAAAAAGCCCATTTTTTCCCTCGGCACTGTTTGGGATGTGACTGAAAAATACCACCTCAAGTCACGGTCTGGGGGAGAGGTTGCTGGACGAGAAGACCAGTTGGCGAGCGCGGAATGGTAGGTGGTTGCTGCTTATATTCTGTGATTAATCTGCTTTCGCAAGATGGGGTGATGAATGTTGATTGCTGCTTTAAAAAATGGGGGAGAGGGACGCTGGCTAATGAAGTCAACTGCTAACCGAAGCAAGAAGGCTGCCGCCGGAGGGTCTGTGGCTGGAGAGCTGTCCTCCTCCTGTGCTCGGGTGTGTATGAGCTGCTCTGTTCGGGTGCTCGAGGTGACCGGTGGCGGTGGGAGCAGTGCAGAGGCACATCATGGACAGGAGTGAGAGTGCTTTACCAGCTGGCGCATGTAAACAGTTGTGTTCTCCTCAGCCTCATCGCCTCTAACACGGCTTGGGGGCTTTGGGGGGAAGGAGGTGTCTTGGCTTGCAATTCAGTGGAAATGAGTGCATTATGTGGGTTATATAGTCCAGACGCAGCCATTTGAAATGGGAATTTGTAAATTTAGGAGAGAGGGTAATGCTAAAACAACTGGAAGATGGAAAGAGAGAAGTCGTGGCCTTTGGAAAGCGCCTGAATGGTGGGGCAAGGAAAGGAAGGTGTTCGTGGGGGGACGTGTTTGAAAAACTGCGTTGAATAGAGGGGTAGGGGGTGTTTTTAGAGAAGTGGTCATCTCGGGTAATCATCAGTCTTCTGCATCACTCCCCCTCCATATGAGTGGACTAAAAAGCCTACTGCATCTGATGGAGCCATCAGGAGCTTTTTGTAGAGGTGTTTACAGCACACTCCAGGGCAGTTGTTTTGCAAGAGAGAATTCAACAATTGGAAGACACTGCAGTGAAATCAATGTTGCTTTGCAGGGAAATCCTCCGGCAGAAGATGTTGCTTTTTTTTTTTTTTTTTTTTTTTTCTGCAGAGGGGCCTGATAAGAAATAAAGCAAATTTTACCTGGCTAATGAAGCGTTACAGCATTGTTGAATAAGCAGGCTGTGCTTCCAGTGAGCCACAATGGGCATGTTCCCCGGCATTTGTGTCCTGAGTGATTGTAAGCTTGTTTACATGGGGGGTCATTTTGCTGCATAGCTTCATGATAGCCTCAATGCAGCCTCCTGCTCCCTCTGTGAGTTTTGCCAGAGACCTGGTTAAAGGCAAACCAACACTGTATGAAAATATAGATTTTCAAAAAAATGATGGCATAGTGTAGAAATGTTTTAAGAGGGAAATGTATATCATAAAATGTATATCATAAATGATCAGAAGCCTGAAATCAGTTTGCTGGAGGACACAGAGCTTGCCATGCAAGGCCAGCTTTGGAAAAAGAGATAGGTTAAGGTAGAATGGGATGGTGTTCTTACTGCACAGGGATGTTTGTCTTTGCCCACATGTAAGCTGTGTTTGGTTTCCCTTTCCTGGGGAAAGTGGAGTGCACCCAACCTCTGATCTTTTAACCCTATTGCAGAGCACTGCTCTGGAGGCACTGGCCAGGAATGCTCTGGAGTAGTATTTTCTTGCTGGGTACTCTTGTTGTGTGCTCACTTTGTTGCTGCTAGGAAAGGTTGCATATAAAGGCTGCAGGAATTACCTTCCTGCAGGCTAAATGAATGGCTTTCTTCTATGGGATGCAGATGTCAATGACAAAGGTGATTTGACCTCAGCCATGAAACTGTGTTCCCTGACTCCCAGCAAACTGCACGCTCACACGTTGCTCCATCCTGCTGTTTCAGAGCATGCATAATTTGTCAGAGTCCTGTTCCAATTATCATTTTGTGGAGCAGTATTAGGAGTACAGGCCTGTTTCTAAAAGGGGTGATGGCAAAAATTGCTTAGCGTGCAAAATTAGTTGCCTTCATCTGCCTGTCTTCTGCCTGCTTGGTAGTAGAAAATGTCCCCTCATTGTTAGAAATGTGTGCACACTGAAAGGGCCTTTTATGAGCAGATCTTGAAGATGAGTGTGGTTTTTGTTGTTGTTTTATTTAATTATTTTTTTTTCTGCAAGCGATTGGCACGTTTGTAGCCTTTTAGAGATTTAACAGCAATGGATGAGTAATTGTAAGACAAAATACCTTCCGACTCTGTTACAGCATTAAATCTAGCTTTTGAAAGCAAAGGGATAGCTATCAAAATTTCCCTGCCATTGCATTTGGGAATGTTATAAAGCTCACCTATAGCTGGCAAGCTGTTCCAAAACTCACACAGTAAGGGGAAGCTAAAGCAGGCCATAAAGAACAGGATGTTAGCACTGCTCTTTGAGATACCATATTTTTATTAAGATTTGGAAAGTAGAAAGGTCACATTTAGAGAGAGATCCCCAGCTTTAGTGTTCGGTATCTCTGTTGTGCAGTATGAGCTGTTCTGCAGTATAAACCACTAAATTCTCAGGCTAATCCCTGAATAACAGAAAATATTGCCAGCTTATTGATAAGCTTTTTAAAACCAAGTACAGACTTTATTGTTTGGTTTTTATTTGTTTGTTCTGTATGGTGAGTAGTCTTACGACCTTAGGCCTCCCCTTCTTCTGCTTACATTTTGAGTTTCCAATACCACTGCTAGGAACGAGGACCTCTAAGCCTGATGATTGCAGTGTTACCATAGTTGCTGCTCTCTGCTCTTCAGGAGGAGAGGAGGGAGACTTCTCTGGGCCACATTACTGAATATGAATGCAGCTCGGCTTCCAGCACGCCAGTTCTGCTCCCCTTTTCTGTGATTCTGTGAAACTTGCTGTTTTGAATCAGCCACCTGCAAGGAAAATTAACCCTCATAGAGGGGAGCAGCTAAAAGAAAAAATGCTGCATTTGCTGCGAGCTTTCTTTCTTTCTTTCTTTCTTGCAGCACCATCTGTGGAGACAAACGTAAGAAAAACAGTCTTTCAGAGAAACAAAAAAGCTTTTGTACCCAAGTAACCATGTAGGACTAAAACTGAAAGCAACATACTACTTGGTTAGTGGGAAATGCCAGGCTTCAGGGCTGGGTTTTCTTTCTCTTAAGCTGTGATAATGACTACAGATCAAAAACAATAAAGGGAAAGGGATGGGATTTCATGGTACACAATCCACTCCTTTCAGAAACTGAACAGATTGCGTTGAGATGAGTTGTTATGCTGCCTTTTAGCTGGACGTCCCTAGTTTTGCTGCCAACCTTCAGCTGCTGTTTTGGCTAGTTCTTGAAATAGATGTATAGGTAACTCAAGTCCTGACACTTCTTGATCTTTTTTCTTTATTCATTAATTAATGAATTTATTTTATTCTTTAATTTTACACGTGAACTTAGTGATGTCAGTGGAGTGTTGTAACCTTTGTGCCTAGGGAAGGGAGGTGAGCACTCTGAATTTCTGTTTGTCTTCGGATATCCCAGAAAATACATGGGGCGTAGGACAGTGTCAGAGCCCTTACTAGGGTCAGAAAAAGAAAGGAGCTGTCGTATTTCTACACTTCTGTTTGTTTTTGTTTGTTTGTTTGTTTTCCTGTTTAAGAAAAAGAGCTTCATGACTCCCCAAGTATGGAGCCTGGCTTGCACCACGTTGATGGCAAGGAACATTTGGGGGAGACTTCCATCTCAGCACTGCTGCCAGCTTTTTGCTCTGTAATAAACATTAACAGTGGAAGGCTCGGAAAAAACAAAATCATGGTTCCCATCAAGTCAAGAGCTATTTCAGCAGGGTTGCACAGTAATAGGTCAGATAATTCAAGAAATTGGGAAGTACTAATTACAGTGGGATTTCAAGGAGCCTCAGACTACGCAACTGTTGGCCCAGGACAGTGGAGTGTCTTGGGCCTTCTCTGATTAAGCTGTTGTTTTATCCTGAGGATTTTTTTTTCTTACTACAGAGTTACAGTTCAGATCTCTCTTAAAATGTTGTCCTAACCTGAGTGATGCTCAGTGATGAACATGGCTGCATTTTGCTGAACTTCAGTCACCTGTTATGTATACTTGGAGTTTCTGTTTGGTAGTTAGACACCAGCGTGGAACTTGCTTTGTTGTTCGCCCTCTTTACCCTTGGTCACTCTTTACCCTCTGTAATTTATTGCATTGGCTGATTACCCTTTCTGTTTAAGCTTGTCTCTAAGTACAAGCACTTTGCCACTTGAACTTTTTTTAAAGAGGATTCTAAGTTTGTAGACAACAGTAATTTATAAGCCTTTCCTTATGCCTGTATGTATTTGTGTCGCAGTTTTTAAAGCCATTTATAACATTGATGTTGCCAACTCACATGATCATAAGTCAAACTTAATTTAAATCCCCAGGTATTCATGGTGGGTGCCTGCACATAAGTCTCAATGTGTTGTAGTGAGTGTTTCTCATTGTTTATATTCCAAGGAAAAACGTAAAGATCTGATCTGAAAAGACAGGTTAGAAACAACAACCATTACTGAAGAACAGTTTCATGATTCGTAGTGCAATCTGTTGTAACCTGGATCAGTCCTGAACTTGATTTCTTGAACAGTTGGGGTTGCCATCCTTGAATTTTTTTTTCTTATTTTCATTTTTAATTTTTTGGGAAAATGACCATGACACCGCTATCCCATTTAAAGAGCACTTCATCCTGCATTATTTTTGATCTTTAACCTTTCTCCTTTTCAGGAGGAAATTAATGGCCTGTACAGATACTGCCTGTAACTGGGTGTCTTATGATAATAGAGGAATAATCTTTTTTTTTTTTCTTTTATTGTATTACATGCCAATATTGACGTTCCAGGCTAGCTTAGTTTTCTGAAGTTCCTATATCTGACTTAAAGAGTAAAACCCAAATACTTTTCTCTTTGTTTTGTATTTAGGGCTAGTATTAGAAACGTGTACCAGCAGCCGGCCAGACTCAAACAGCAGCTATGGCAACCCGTGCATGAAGTTGCTGCCTTTGACCCATTTCCTATAGATGAGGCATATCAAACGCCGTGGTGAGTCAACAAAGTATGATTTTAACAAATCACCTTCCTTAACAGAATAATCTTGCTCAATGCCACTGGCATGCTGATTATTTTGGGGAGGGTGGGGGTGGAATTTCACTGGCAACTTTCAGTAATATTTAGTGAACTTGAGCATTGTGTTGTCTTGTTATATATGCTGTTTTCAAGCGTAGCATTGCTGCATTGTACATATATCAGGTGGAGTGTATTGGGAGTGTGGTCTTGATGAACATGTGAAGACAATAATGATTATAAAAACCCCACAACGCTACATATGATGTAATGGGGGCTTGATGTATATACTGATTTACACCATATATATATATATATATTTTTTTTTTTTTTGTAATTACTGTTTTGCATCTCTTTTATTTGTGGTGAGGGAGAAGAAAGTGATTTTGTTTCTCAGTCTGTGAAATGACTGAGGAAGAGCGTGAGGAATCCTGACAGCTTTTCCTGCTGTAAATTCCTTCATCCCTGGACAAGAAAATAAATTCTGAGAGTAGTGATGAGTAGCAAATAGCATTTTTTTCAAGTACTCTATGGCTTTAATCATGCACAAGTCTACTTGCATACTTACATGGAGAATTTCTTATATTGCAAGCCATTCTGATCCTAATAATTTCTGTAAGGTGATTGTGGCATACCTTTGGGATAGGAGGAAGTGGTTTTAGGTGTCCAATGTAATCACAAAATAGACATTGTGGAATCTTGTGAGTCTTTAAGGTAACTAAATTTCCATTCAAAATAAGCTTATATTAGTTCTTTCCCTAATACTACCTAGATGTTTGCCAGCTCCAGTCACCGTAGCCAGCATAATCTGAAAGTCAACAGGTTTAAAAAGAAAAAAACAAAAAGGCAACAGGTGCAAGTTTATGTCTAGACCTGATGCAGGTCTTCTGTGATTTGGCCTTTACCACTGGTTGGTGTCAAATCTGGAGCTGTTACAAAATAGGACGTAAATTCGAGACACCAAAATATTTCTGCTCTCTCAGTAGGAGTTACAGGTTTTGTTTCTATTTGTAGACCAGGCAGAGATGGAAACATGCAGTCTGTCCTGACTGGTGGGCAGTAGTGGTATGTGACTACTGTAATAATGAAATGAGCGCTCTGATAGCATGTCTTTGTCATCCTTGGTAGAGCTGCTGGGAGAAATGAATAGGGGTCGGGTAAATATATTTGATTCTGCTCTGGAGTAAAACAAGTGAGAAAGTAGCAAAAAGAAATGCCTACTAGATGACTGAAAGGTTGAAACCTCAAGTGCTTGCCAAGGGGGGGAACCAGATATTTGACGTGAGGAGTAATTTGTGGCAGGAGGAGGTCTGAATGTTCAAATCCCTGACCTGTGGCCATCCTGTGACAGTAAGGCATTTATGTAGAACTTGAAAGCCTCCCCATATTATGCTCATGATATTGACAAATTCTTAAGGATTTTAAAGTATGTGGCATTGAACTGAAGCTGGCAAGACAGCAGCATTCATCTTGCTTTAATATGTGGACTCTTAAATCTGTGAAATTTATATGAATGGGCTTGGCTGAGTTTTGAATTCATAATGAGGTGCAAAACCATAGAACCTTTTGTGTGTTTGCTTTTAATTTGAACTTGTGTGTTTAGCATCACATAGGTAATACGCTATTTGTAGATAATCAGAGTTTATATCAACTGGTAACAGCAGAATATTTACCATTTGTGGTAATTAATACCACTGAAATATTAATAGAACAAAAGATTTTTGTCAGCGTGTCTGTGGTGAACAGTGATTAAGAAGAAGTTGCATGTAGTTTTTATAGTATCATGTATGCATGTTAACCTGGTAAGTTCGTAGGCATGCCATGTCGTATTCTCTCACCATTAATACTTTTAGAATTGCTCTATATGTTGAAAAACCTTTTTGAAGAAGCTGGGTGAGCATAATCTGTCTCTGGAGTACTTTATCTCTTGAGTTCAGTGATCATCTAAGTCACTTCCTCCAGCTTCATTCTTACCAGTTTAGTTTTTAGGATGGGTAAATCAGCACAGGAAGCAGGTTTTCAGAAACAGTATCTGATACCAGTCAACCTCAAGTTCTCTTTTCTCAGAGATGTTGTAGGAAGAGAATTACTTTATGAAGTTTCCTTCAGTGACAGCTTTTTGAGAGTCAAAAATGGTGAACATAAATAAAAATTATGAACTCTAGGTCTTGCTCTGAAGTTGCATCTCTATGGGAAAATTATCTGTAGTTGTCTTTAGTTTAGTATGAATTTGGAGTTTTTGTATGCGTATCAGTTAGGGATGCAGTCCTGTGAACGCGTGTGGATCAGAGCCAGTCTTAAATCTGCAGCTTTGAGATAGAAATGCTTATGCTTTCTGTGCAGGTTCTCTTCAGTTAATGTTGATCTTGTACACATGCAAATGACTCGGAACATGTAATTATGTATCTTGCATCAAGACATCCCTGTTTATGAAAGCACAGGTTTTATAACAGTGGAACTTGTATGTGAAATCAGATGTCTAAAACTCTGCTTTTACCTGTCAAAGGAAGAAAGGATTCTGATTGTATAGTGTTCAGTAGGTATACTGTTTTTGCCCCTATGGAAGGGCAAAAAAAATCAATGTTCAGGAAAAATAGCATTTACGATACAAAAATATTTACCAGTATTCATCAAATAAAATAATGAAAAAAGTAAGGATATTTTGCTTAACATGAAAGTAAGGTAAGTGCTGTGGATGATGGGAGCCGAGTTCCTTTTGGTAGAAAACATGAAAGAGTCTAGGATTCATGCAGCTATGCAGATGAAGAGAGTACCTGGGATACAGTAATTTTAGTTTTCTAAGCACTTAAACATTTATGGAGCTTTTAATCTTTAGAGGGCCTTGGCTTAATATCTTGCAACTGGAATGTGCAATATTTGTTTCTCTCACCTGTGTAAACATTGAGCACACAAAGTGAAATTCTGAACTCCATCTAGCCCATATTGAATGTAAAATAACTCCAGTGGGTTTGGTGGAGTTAAACCAGACTTATATCAGAGGAGCTACAAGGCCAGTTTTCTGACAAACAGGTGTTTTACTTCTCCGTCTTTCTTAGTAGGAAAAGGTTGTATATATTAAAAATGTTGCATGCCATATATATTAAACAAACAAAAAAACACCTACAGCAAACTTGTCTGTTACTGATGATGGCTATGTACTGAGCAATTTTATTCCCTGCTGAGAGATGACCTTTTTAATACATTTCCAAAAGCTATTTGTTGTGTGATCAACTGCATACGTGCACATAGCAAAGATTTTCCAGGAGTGTCATTGGCAGCAGTTTGGGTGTTTGCCTTCCCCCTTCCCTACTTTTCAAGGATGTTGAATGTGTTTGTTTTTCCTGCAAAGTGCAAAAAAAAGAGTTCTTGGTGAAACAACTAGATCACAATTTACTTCAATAAACTGCATTGAAAAAGGTTACAAAATGGAAGCAAACTGTCTTTGCAAATGTGTAGATTTTGTTGCTGCTGTTGGGTTTGTCTTTCTTTGTGCATTTTCTTTTTTGGCTCTTCAGGATATCATTGAACAGGATGTTTTCACTCCCTTTTGAAGTCAGCCTTCTTTTTGAGGCTGTTATTTCTCATGTACCTCCCTTCTCCCTCCATCCTTGGTTTGTTGTTGGATATTACTGATCCCCAACGCCTGTAAAATTAATATACTAATTAAATAATAATTAAACACAGTTTTGTCAATGCTTTTGTACATTTGGACTTTTTAATGCCCTAGGCTGAGAGAAACTGTGAGCTTTCTTTTAATAAAAAGTAGGCTCTTCATCCTCATTCCTTAACAACAGCAACAGAAAGGAAACCTTGAGTATGTGAAAGCTTGAGGCCTCAACACATTGCGTTGCTTCTACCAAGGTTATTCCCTCATGCTATCTCAGAATTTTGGGGAGAAATGACAGATTTCTTAGACTTCTGGGACTGACGTTAAAAATGAATTTTGGAGGTAGTTGGGAAGTGCACGCATGCTATCTTTCTGAATACTTGTGGAGACACGAACATGCCTCACTTCTGGGTCAATGTCTGCATTCCTCACAGCACAACCCTGGCTACTAGGAATGGTGATGGTATTTGCATAATTTAAAATTTCAAAATTAATTTGGTGTAAAAAATTTGAAATGCAGATGTCTTACTTCAGGGGCTCCCCAGTTGTTTAATTTTGCTCTGATGGACCAAATGCTTTTATTCTGCCATATGTCAGTCTGCGCTTGCTGAACAGGAGTGAACTTCCTGACCTTAATACTTCCCTGTGCCAGCTGTGACCTGTGAACATCTCAGATGAAATATGTGCATCTCTGCTGCGTTTTTTATGTTGCTGGTGGAAAATGTAACTCTGTGCCACCTGGCAGGCAAGTTCAGTATTTGCATGCTCTCCTCCTAACCTTATAGAAAACATCCAGCGCTATTGCTGTGGAATATGGAAGCAGAGGGTCAGATGGATAGCCTCTGAAGCGTTGAATAGTTCTTCAGTGTCATCCACACGAATCGCATGGAAAGAATTTGAGTAGAATGCAGAACAGTGAATGAAAAGGACAAATCAATAGCAAAAAGCCTGGAGAACAGTGCCAGCAGGAGGGTGGGAAGGAGACCAAGCCAGCAGTAAGGCAGCTATGTTTATGGGCATGCCACATGAACTCATATTACATAAAGTATTGGGAAGCGTTTTGTAACCACATGGGGAAATACTTTGCCTGCTTCCTCTTCAAGACTTGTCAGTGAGGCACATTGACTCGACTGTTTCTTTGAGTTCTGTTGTAAGGAAACCAACAGTGATTTCCTAACGAAGAGGGAATGAAACCAGTGGAAGCCAGGAACAGGGTTAATCAATGCAAGGCTGCTAGTATGATGGTAACTCTGTGAGCCTTCTCTCTCAGACACTTTATGTTGGGACTAGGCAGACACATGTGATCGAGGACTGTCTTGAAAGCTGTTATCTGGAGGTTATATGAACTCGTGGTCAGACCACAGGCTCACCC